AGTGGTCGGGGGGCGGGGGCGCGGCGGGCGGCGTGCTGCTCGGGCCCGCCATGCCGGGCGCGCTGCCGGGGCCTGCCCCCGGGACCCCCGCGGGGCTGGCGAAGGGCGCGGCCGCGGCGACCCCCAGCCTGCCTCGTACACCGGCGGCCACCACCGGCGCTATCCGGGCCACGCTGACGCCCACCGTGCTGGCCCCGCGCCTGCCGCAGCCGCCGCAGAACCCGACCAACATCCAGAACTTCCAGCTGCCCCCAGGTGAGTGGCAGCGCGCGGCGGGAGGCGAGGGCGGGTGCAGCAGGCGACCCTGGTGTTCCAGGAAGTTCTAGGCTGCATTCTGGGGCTGTGCCCTGGCCCGGTGGCCCGCGAGGCCGAGGGGCGTCCTCTGCCCAGGTGACCTGACAGTCGTGAGGGCTTTCCAGAGCCCTCGAGGAACTCTGCTGTCCCGTTGGGGTGCCATAGGCTACCGGCAGTGTGTCAGAGGCACCCTTCTCTCTGCTACCTCAGGTGAGGTCAAGAGAGGGCGAACTCCTCACAGCCAGGCTGGTGAACTCTGTGTGGAAGGCATCGGCTTCCCTGCTGCCAGGGAGGCCCACTGGGGACACAGTTGGGAGCAGAGTGGTTTGATGGTCATCAGTGCCTAAAGGGACTCTGGGTGCTTTTGTTGTTGCTGTCCCTGGAGGTCAGCAGGACGCTCAATGCGCAGGGGTCTGCGGATGCAGGAGATCGTGGTGGTGTGGGGACACAGAAGCCGCCTTAGCGCCTGCAGGTTCCACACACGCTCTGGCTCTGTTGGCTTCAGATTCCTCAGGACCCCTTGGGTTTGACGAGTGGCTCCTTTCCCGGCTTGTAGACTGCTTTTGTTTGAGAGTCGTCTGCGGGAGCGTTCCCACTGAACCCTGGGCTGGAGCAAGCCCTGAGCGCTCCTCCCGTGTTACATAGTGACATGTGCAGTGGTAGTAGCAGCGCCGCCCGCCGCGGTGGCAGTAGTAGAGAATTGGAAAACATGCTGCCCCTGTGTCCTCTCCCGTTTTCTGAAAAGTGCCACTGTTTTCTGAGAAGTGGTTTGGGTCATTTTGAAAGAACTATAGCATCTTAAGAATTGAGCTTACCAGTGGAAGTCAGTGAGGATCAGGAAGGCTCGTCAACGGTTCAGTGATATCTGCCAGATCTACGGGGATATGGGACCCCGAAGTGTTTATGATGTTGCAGGGGCTGCCATGCTCTGAGGAGGGGCTGGGTGTGACATAGGGCCTAGGAGCTGCAGGTGTCCCTTGCCACACATCTGGGGCTTGCTGAGAAGTGTGCTGGGTGTGTGACTGAAAGTCTTGTTCATTATGTTCATTTTGACCTTTGGGTGGAAGATATAGCTGATGTTTATAGTTTAGAAGGCATTTTGTGGTTGTAATCTGTTATTTGAAATGCTACAGTACTTTGTACCCTTGTATAGGAGTCTTTTCTGGGAGTCCTTCAGCACTACCTTCCCCATGGCAAGGATGTACCCATGTTGTCCTTTTATCAGGAAAGCTGGCATGGTCAGGTGCCCATGGCATCCTTCCATAGTGAGCTTGGCTTACCCTAGTTCCTTTACTTTTGAGTGCTGTACAGGTGAAGTCCATCTCCCTGGGAGAAGGAAGGTATCATTTGAAAAGGGTGTTTGCTGCTGTCTCTATCACAACTGCTTTGTTTTCCAGGTCAGGTTCAGGGTTGATGTGTTTGAGCAGAAGATAACTCACTGGGGAAAAATGTAAACGTGCCCATTATTTGCAGTTCCTCTGCGCTCTGCCTCAGTCCCCATGCTTGTGTTGGAGAGGAGAGCAGTGCCTGTTGACATCTGGGTGGCAAACACCCAGAGCTTTGCTTCAGAGTAGCTGCATGCTTTCTAGAAAAGAAAGGGCTCATACCCATCTTTGGAACCCTTTGGCTTCTGTTGCTCTTTTGATAGGGAATGCTGATTTAAAAACTCCCAAAGCTAAACTAATGATTTGGTGCTAGAAAAACAAGACAGGGAGGCACAGTCAGAGGATGGCTAGTTTTGTCCTGTAACTGAGTGGTCAGAACTTTTTCTGACCTACCTTTCTTCTTCATTGACACTTTTTATAATAAAATATATTCAGAAAAGGTGAAGATAAGTTCTAATAAACTTCTGTTTAGCCAATAACAGCCTTATATGGTGAGGTGGGAGAGACAGGGGAGGGCAGGCTTCAAGGCTGCACATAGGTGTCAAGTGGAATAACATACCATTGGCAGTTGAATGGAGTGTGAAAGGGGCTGAGTTCTTCCCAGTGCCCTCTTGATAGAGGTCATGCTGGGAGAGGGGAGGGACACAGGTTTCAACCTGAGGTCTTTAAGGTCAAGTTTCATCTTCACAGTTCACCAGGAACTTCTTATAAGCACTTTGAAATTGTTTTTAGCAAACTGAGACCCGATCTTCCTTGTCAGAACAGGTTTGTAAAGGGACTGGAATGTGACTAGGTTGTGATTTGCTGGTTTGCTGGTGCCAAAGTCTAAGTTTGGTCCACAGTGCGAGAGCTTTAGAGAGCTCCTGCTGATTGGCTGGTGTGCAGCTCAGGAGGCAATAGAGACAAATCACAGTATGCTTAGACAAGGAACAGATGAGAGGACCTCAGAATTAGTGTGTGCTTTCGTGGCTTTGAAAGATCTGGGTTGAGGATGCTGTCCTGTAGTCTATTTTTCGACATGACAATTTAGTATTTTCTTTTGTGTGTGTCTGTTCCTTCTACCTTTGTATTGAATTTATTCTCATATTGCTCTAGAACTTGGCTCAAGCATAGGTTCTTGGTTTAGGAGAAAACATTTCTGTGGCCTCGATGCTGTGGCCCTTTGGTGAAGACAGGTGCTGGTTCCCACATGTGGTGGGTTGGGAATTAGTGGAAAAGGAGAGGCCTGCTGCAGGCTGACTGCACTTGGGCCTGCCTTAGTTGGTGGACTGATTTCCAGGCTCTCATAGAGGATGGAGAGCTGGGTGGAGTTATGAGGCTGGGGTTCTAGAGGCCAACTTTGGCAACAGCAGCCAAAAGGGATATTCTGGAAACTTCAGCTTTTCTTACTTGATGTCACAGTTGCTGATTGCCTGGGAAAAGTATATTGCTTATGGAGCCTCAGTCTGACTGTAAAATGACTGCTTTGTGAAGAGGAGATTCTGTCAAGATGAGACATGGACACACCGGCTCTTTACTCCCGGTTCCCTGATCCTTTTCCTGTTTCAGGGGTGACGTTGCTTTAGAAGTTATAGTCTTTCTAAGGTTAGTTTTATCCCAGTGAAAATTCTTATCCACATGGACAAGAAGTTTAGGGCAGGATTGTCTTGTTCTCAGAGGAAAGCACAGAAATCATCACAGGTGGACCATGTTGGCATGGCCATCAACCACTTATCCACATGCTACCTATGGAGAGGACCTCGCCAGGGGGCTGGCCTCTTTCCCTGTCCACTTTACTGTTGGCCTGTCATTATCATCTTTGGGCAGAGTGGTGATGGGATGGATGACTGGCATCTGCAGGTGTTCTTGGAGCTACTGAGTCTCACGTTTGGTAGTAGTTGTAGAGGGGCCTGTGAACACTTGCAGGATGGTGGTCTCTAACACTTAATGGTGTGTGTTCAGGAGAAGCCTCAGAGCTTGGGGAAGACCCGTCTTATCAACTCTTTGTTTTGGTGTTTGTGAGGCAGGGTCTCTCACTAGATTGTCTGTAACTCCTTCTGAAGCCCATCTTGGCCTTGAACTTGAGGTCCTTCTGTTCAAGCTTCCTGGGTACTAGTGTATACCACCACACTTGACTTATTCATCTCCAGGTACTTGCACTGCCACTTTTGGGGCAGATCTCTGTATATTAGGGTTGTTAGGAAAAGGAACTGCTGGTTTGGGTAGGAGTGAATGAACCTGAGAGAAGACAGGCCACTGAGAGTACTGGAGGAAGTTGCCCATTTAAATCTCTTCACAGTTGCCCAGAGATGCCATTGGGTCAGAACTGTGCCCACCTCACTCAGCCCCTGCCTTGAATGGAGTGGCTTGGTGGGGTAGTGGAACTTAAGTTGGGGTGCTACAGGGATGCCTTCAAAGTCTGCTTCTGTGTAAATGTGTGCTTTCCTCCATTTATGTTACAAAATTGGAAACAGCTTTTATGAATAGCAGGCTATATCTCAGTTGATTAAATCATAATAGTTGGGTTTTTTGTTTTTTTATTTTTTATTTTTTTATTTTTGCAAATCTTGAAGCAAAGATGTAAAAATCTGTAGAAACTGCCTGAGGTCTGAGGCAGTTTGTGGAATTTGAAGAAGCAATTTTACTCTTCTCTACTAGCCTCTGCTTGGCTAGCCTGGGCCTCAGTTGCTATTTAGGGCTCTTATTGGCAGTCTATTAATCAGGCCTTTGCTAGCAATAAATTTGTTAAATGAAGTTAAGAGAAAATGGGAGAGAGGCCTTTGTGTGGGAGTTCTGGGTGTTATACAGTAACTATGTGCCTGTTGCTGAGGCCAGGGTTACCTGGGTGTTGGTGTTGTGAGTGCAGTTGGGCCAATTCTCTTAGAGCATCTTGCTAGGCAGCATTGTTCTGCATGGCTGTTAAGGCACTGCAAGGTTATGTCTAAGAATTAGGGATTTTCTCCTTTATGGTAGTGCTGTGAAAGTTTTGGTTTATAGATTATTTTGAATATTTGCACCATGCACTTAGAAGCCTGAAAATCTTTAAGAGAAAAGATTGTCCACGGTTAGGACCCTCCAGCATCCACCCTTGTCCTGTTCTTTGTCTGTGCACCATGTTGCTGCTGTATGGGGGCCACTGAGTTGGATGCAGCCCTGCTGCATGCTCCATGTTCTTGTTCTGGTAGGAACTTTGGATGGGAGGAGCTGCTGGAGGCCTGGGCCCTTTTGCCACTCTGAGAGTGTGAGACTAGGAAGAACTTTGTCCTTCCTGAAACTTTAAAAGTATTATTAAATACTGTGTCTGTACATGACATGGCATGTGTGAAGAATAGACAATAGTGTCGGGAGTCATATTTGTCCTTCCCACCTTTCTCTGGGTTTTAGGGATCAAACTCAGGATGCCAGGCTTTCATAGCATAGCAAGTGTCTTTATTCACCAAACCATCTCTGTGACTTCTTCCTGAGGGACCTCTGTGTATGGTAGGGTGACTCTGAGGAAGGTACTTACTGGTTTCTTTGGCCCCCAAACTTTTGAAGGGAGTGCACCCATAACATCCAGCTGGTGGGGTGGTGCTGACTTTGGGACTTGGGAGTCAT